AAAATGTTTAATGATGTATTTTTTTTATTGTTTGTCAGACTTATGCTCATTTCATGTTGCTTTTTATTTTGTTTTGTGCCAAAATAAAATGACAATTTTACATGTATACATAGAAAGCTAAGTTTCCTTTAAGGTATAACCATCATAATTTCTTACAGGCTTAAACGATTTTTGTCTTATCCATTTAAAACTTTCTTATTTGACAAACTCGCCTTTGGCACTTCCCCCTGCTTTCATGTGCCACATAATTTTGACACATTTCGAGAGCGCTAAAAAGAAATTATCACAATTAAGGGAAGCTCGTTTGGCTGCCGTAGTATAAATCTGATTAGGCCCTGCCCAACTCTTCTTTTTGGCCACATGCTGTTACGGCATTTGAGGCTCTTTTGTCGCAATTGCTTTAATTACTCAAAGGAGAAGCCTTAAGAGGGCCACCTGCTGCATAGTTTATGTCCCATTGGAGACTCACCTCTCGGCAACCACTCAGCAGGAGTTCTTGGCCCGGACTGATTTATGGCCAACCGAGGAGAGGGAAGAGAGACAGCCGGCAACTTTATCAATAAGCCACACAAAAGTTGGGCGAAAGAGGTTTTTATCGGACCGAAATGTTTTCAAATTGCTAGCCACCCCCTAAATAACTATAAAATTTGACAACTTTTCGGCACAACCCCTTCCCACCAACCAAACTATTCATTCCGATAAACAACTCGATTCGATTATTTGCGATGCCATTAGAATCGATTTTCGGGCAAAAGTTTTCGACAACTGTCATTAGGCATTGTTGGATTAGCCGAATGAGGAGTGGTCGGGGTGTATGAAACGGGGAAACTTTATCAATTTGTGGGCGGGCTGGGGCATAATGCATGCCACCCCCTGGAACTAATGGAAGCTGGTTTTCCCGCCCCAATGACTCATCTCGATTTGGGATTAATTCCGGCTTCTCGCCGCATCCATCCCTTTCAATTGTTTGTCTTCATTTTGCAGCGCTTAACTTTGATTGACATTCATGCTCCATCATTTATTCATTTTTGGCGCCGAAAAGTTTTCAGCCCACCGCCACTCCTGCAAAATTTAATTGACTTTTCCCAGCGAAAAATTAGCAGCTAGTTCTCGCCCCTTTTTCGATTGGGGGCATAACTAAGGCAAATATTGAACCAACACCCCCCGAATTCTCCCCTTTTGCCGAGATTTTTGTGGGGTGGCGGGGTGCTGACTTGTTATTTGGCTTGGCAATTAACTTTCTTTTGTTTGCGGTGGACTTGCAGCCTTTTGTGTGATTTCAGCTAGTTGGAAGTGGCGGAGGTGGGAGGACATTGGGGAATCTCGGGTGTTGTAGCCCCCTTTGGCAATAAAATTTCATTGCTAGTTGAGCGCAGCTGTCGATATTTTTGTGCGGCACAGTTTGAAAATAGATTGGGTCGGAGGACAAAAAACTTAAAGCAAATGAATTTATCTAAGCCAGAATTTTAGGCAATTCAATTATTTATTACTTAAATTATTTAATTTCCAAATGCCAAGCAAACATTGGGTCTTTCAGATTCTATAAAAGGAAACCTGTTTTTTAATTTTATAAAAAATAATTTTTAAAAATGTCGGCCAAATATCCCTTAAAACTTAAAGTTTTAATAACTTGACACAATCATATTTCGATAAATAATTCATATTTGTTTTAATAAGATTTGAATAAAATAAAGGTTAAAGCAAGCCAATGTTAACATAAGTAAAATGTTAAGTGAATAAAATAACACATTTGTAAAGGTTTGTATATATAATTATCAATGATAACTCAAAAATAAATTATAATAATATGAAGTTAAAAATCTTTGAACAAAGGAAATAAACATTTTATTCAATATTTTTCTTGTAAGAACACCAGAAAGTAACAATTAAACATCTCAACACGACTAGTAAGAACGCTGAGTAAAAAACAATTTGCTGTCCCATCATCTTTGTTTCGTTTTATAATTCTTTGCTTGCCCCATTTAATTATGTATTTGAATCCGATTGTAACAATTTCCTCTGCCGCGCTTTTTCCATTGCATACTTTTTGGGTTTTTTCTTAGTGTCGCTCTTTCTCGGGGAATCCCCGCAAAGCCCACGCCAGCAAAACATTAATTAAGTAAACTACACAGAGCACTGCAGCGTATTTTTTGTTGGTCCATTTGTGCAGTTGCCTAATTGAAAATGGCAATTAAATTGAAAACACCCCCAGGCGCTTACAAAGCGGGCCAATTTTTTGCCGCCTTCGATTGTGTCGCGACGAATTCGGCAATTAATTAAATTAAACTTTTTTTCCTTTAAAAGTATTACTTGGTGCAATAAAAATGAACACCTTTAAATGTAGTAAATGCGAATTTACGGACATATTAACCGCCTTCTTTCCTTCATTCTTTTCAAACGTTCTACTCTGTTTTTGGCCAGAGCATGTTTGACTCGATCCTTTAGGTTTTTGGCCTTTAATAGAGTCATCACTAATTCTTTCATGATCATTTCATTAAAGTTGTCCAAATTCTTTCGTATATAGTTCCGGGTCTGATTCAAAGTCACCTCAAAGTCCTCAGGTAGTGGGTTTTTCCATTGGACATACAAGTGGGCCACGGAAACAGCGAGAACTGCAAAAAATAGCCAGAGTTTCATCTCGTATAATGTTGAACTGAATATTGGAATACAACGGAAAAGGTATTTTGTTGAAATTACAGGCACGGGCTTATTGATGAATGTCCCATAATGAAACATGAGAGTTTCTAAATATGCCCGGGCTCAATTTAAGAGCCTCAAATCCCTTTGTTCAGGACGTGCAGCCGCACTAATATATCACATTTCGACATTCCCAACCAACAGCTAGGAATAAATATTCATCTTCTCTACCATTTTCCCTGCCTCGAGTTCTTTTTCCACTTTTATGGTTCTTTTTTAGTAACTTCACATCTACTCATATGTTTTGCTTTATGATTTTCACGCCCGCATTCAGCGGGAACAAAACTGCACTGCAAATAATAGAAGTCGAATAAAACTGCCCATGAAACCAGTGACGAAGATGGGATACTCTACATGGCTGGAAATTCATGGAATTAATTTATGTGCTCATTTATAAATATTGTCTTTATTTGTATTGCAACTTAAAGGTTTTGGTATTATTTAATTAAATTAAAGTTTTAAAAAAATCATTTATTTTTAAAATTCTTAATATTGTTAATCATTTTACATGTTCATTGTAAATGTAAGTATTTACTTGTAAATTATTTTTCTTTTAATTTAAATATTCGATTGAGTGCTAATCATTTTTAGTTTGGGATTTGTATGGTTTTACGAACTCGGTTAAGGAATCGGCTTTAATTGGAAATATATATTAACAAAAACACAAAAGTAAAATGTATGTAATCTACCCTCTTTATAAAATACTTTGCATAATGTAAATATAATTAAAGTTTAACAGACTAGAGTGTTCCACAAATCGGTCTGCAGAACAATCGTCCTGGTTCAGAAACATTTTTTGCCACATTAACGCCTGCACACGCCCGCGCCATTTTGTGGCCGAGTGCATCCAGCTTTTCCTTTTCCCTCCCTTCGGCTTTTCCCTCCCGTGGCCTCCACAAACACACATTCGCGAAACCCACACATTAATAACTTTTTTATGGCGGTCGCATAAAAACGCAACAAAACTCACCGCCGAACATTGGATTCCATTTTCGTGTGCAGTTCTCTGCTCGTTTTTTTGCGCCGTGCTGCTGAAAAGTTTTCTGTGTGGCTGTTGTAGTTGTTAAATCGCACGTGTTTTGTACAACATCGCCATATCCTTCATACATATTCCTTAATACATGTCCCTCTGCGTGGGCGGCTAGAGTGATTTTCCCCCACTACTTCCCCAATTTTTAACTGCAATTTGTTGCGAAGGAGCTTAGTGACTGACTGAAGTCCACACGAAACAATTGTATTTCATTTTTTCGAAGAAAAAATGGCCTTTTAGTTTTTAAATGGTATTGCTTAATACGTTCTGTTGTGCTATAATGCTTACACAGGTTAGTTAACTTTTAAAATGCGATGCTTTGGGCTAAAAAACAAGGTAACAGTTTTTTAAAAAGGATAAGTTCAAAATGTGTAAGAGTTTATTTTATTTTGATCCTTTTTGCACAAACATAATCTGGTCGTTTTCTTTGTGATTTTCATATTGATTGATTAATATATTTAACTTAACGCAAAGGTACCCCAGTGAAATGTTTGATTTCAAGATGATCATATTTTGGTTAAGTGTACCCACAGCATCCCCCAAAAAAGTACAGTCTGAGTCTCGATTTTATTTCGGCCTTTTCACCGCACACATGTGTTTTGAACGCTTTTGTTTTTGTCTGCGTGTTTTCCATTTTCCGATGCTTTTCATGCTTTTTTGCGGTTTCTCTGGGAGAGTATTTAGAAAACAAGTGTAATCAAAATTATATGGGCGTGGATTTCTGGTTGCCACTCGTAAATTTCAAGGCTTACGGCCATGTGTTTCAAGTGTTTGGCGGAGGGAGGGGAGGAATGGCCGTGGAACTTGGCCAGCGGGTGTTGCCAAGTTATGATTGAATTTCGAGCTGCTTTTGTGTTCATAGTTTGTCTGTCCGCTTACATGTGTAGTTGCTTCTAATGGGAAAAGTTTTAGGTTAACAACAAAAGGGAGGTGAGAAGAATCGGGATTTTCAGAGTGCCCCAAAAGGTTGGAGAGCTCTTTTAAAAAAAGTTTACCTAGTTCAGCTTAGAACATTTTAATGGTCCCTGTACTTACCCAATAAGATAAGAACTCAATATTGTAGTTTTTTTATTTGTCCAACTTAAACAAATTTTTAAATATTATGAATATCTAATTACTAAAAAGTGTTTGAAAAATCTATTTGCTTAGTAACTGTAATTATTAACCACACATTTCAAGTTTTTAAAGATGGAGAACCTAGCAATCAGTTTTATAAAACTTGAACGATATTTAAAAAACGAACAGCAGAACAATCTAGCCTTCCAAACTTATTTGTCATCATAATACAAAATGTCGTCGATCACGGATCCCCTGGGCCAGTTGAACTCTCTGGTGACGACGCTGAACCTTCTCCAAGGACTGGAACATCTGCTTCTAACTGTGGAGGAGCAGGAGCAGCCAGTGGGCAACCTGGAGGGGCGAGTGCACCGCCTGGAGCTGATCAAAACGCAGATGAAGTGCTTCAATACGGAGCGAATTCGCATTCTCGAGCAACTGCGTCAGAATGTGTGCTACCACGTTACTGTGGAGCAGAACAATGCATTTGCCATGAGGCAGGGTTTTGGCGAACTGCGTGAGGGATTGAATGCGCTCCATCAACGGATGAACAGTATGAGCGAGGACATCACCTGCTCCATCTGCCTCGCTCCCTGGACATCCCAGGGTGGGCATCGCGTGGTTTCGCTGAAATGCGGACACCTCTTCGGGAGCAGCTGCATCCGCACTGCCATCAGAAGGTCCCATCGGTGCCCGGTCTGCAGGCGCAGGGCCCAATACTCCGATGTGCGCAGGATCTTCAGTCGACGTTTCTTTCCATAATGTGGGGAGACATGCCATTGCCTTGGCTTCAATGTTTTCCAAAGCCCGTTCCCTTTGTTTTAGATCGTTTTTTGTTACTTTATTTTATTTTTGAATGGTTTTAGTTTCCACCGTTATTCAACTCACGACGAAAGTACATGTAACAAATGAAATGGGGGAAGAGCTTATAGGTCAGCATAACTTGGACCTTTTCAATCGGAACTGTAAACTATGCTTAACTAACTGAAACCAGAAACCAACAACAATGTCGAAATTTAAAAAAAAATCTGTTTGTTTTTTATCCATTCTAACAATGTATATAAAAATTTCCAATGTAAGTCCAAATTTTCCCAAAATAAAAGAAAAACAATCATAAAATTGTGAATATTGTTACCTTTCCAAAATTATTTTTTTGTTAATTAAAGCTTTTTTGTAATTTTCATTCTTATAAGTGAAAATAAATGAAAGACCATTTCTTAAAATAAAGAAGAAGGGGCCCGTGGGAGTAAAACTTCCTAGTCGAGGCCAAACCAGTGTACCAATTTCAAAAACTAACTTCAACCTCCTCCCTATCAGAATGCAAGAGGTTTGCGTAGCAAACTCACTAAATTGTATTCTGATAGCCTTTCCTTCATCTCATATTATTGTGTTCACAGAAACCTGGTTAAAGCCGGAGATCTTTAGCTCGAAGTTTTCCAGGTAAGTACACAATATATAGGTATGACCGTCCCTCTAGACGGGAGGTGGAGTCTTAATTGGAGTTGATTCAAACTTCCCGTCTGAGGAGTTATTTTTGATGAATTCAATACCATTGAATTTATTTGTGCAAAGTTATCGCTTCCTGGTAACTTTATATACATAACTTGCTCTTATATTCCGCCGTTGTCTGAACTTCCTGATTATTTAAATCACCTATCCGTTATTAAGTCCGTTGCAAATAAGCTTTCCGATAGGGATCAGTTGATAGTTCTAGGTGATTTTAATATACCTGGAGTTACTTGGTCCACTGAGGATGGATCGAATGTCTTACTACCTATAGCACAGCATGATTTTATTGACGGCCTGCTTGACATATCTCTATCTCATGTAAACCATGTTCGAAATTCATTAGGTCGCCTACTTGATTTGTGTTTTGTATAAAATCCTGAAGGTGTGTTTCTGTCCAGAGTAGCACCACTCACGCAACCTGAAGATCCATATCACCTAACAATCGAACTTTCATTTGATACGGGTAGAGTTATAGAAGAAAAATCCAAACGAATACATTGTTTTCGCAAGGCAGACTTTCTGAGGCTTAATAATTTTATTTCTGGCTTTAATTGGTCTGATCTTTACTTATGCAATAATATGTCCGATGCAGTTAATGTTTTTTATACTGCAATAAACTCATTTTTTAATTCCTGTGTTCCGTGGTACTATCCGTCAACTTCCAATAAATCACCTTGGTTTAGCAAAGAGTTGACACACTTAAGAAATGTAAAGTCCAGACTTTTTAGGAAATATAAAAATACCGGTTCTCAATCTGTTTTTACTAGATATCTAAGTGATCGGTCAAGATTTACCGTGCTTAATGCTCAGTGTTATAATAGTTACTTAAACCGTTGTAAGGTCCAGTTCTCTCAGGACCCGAAACAGTTTTATAATTTTGTTAACACCAAGCGTAAATCTAATTCTTTTCCTTCCTCGCTGTCGTTCGAAAACATGACGGCAAACACAGATCAGGCAATAGCCGATTTATTTGCCCAATTTTTATACCCTTGCAGAGGGTATTATAATTTTGGTCAAAAGTGTGCAACGCAGTGAAGGAGACATCTCCGACCCTATAAAGTATATATATTCTTGATCAGGATCACCTCCTGAGTTGATATAGCCATGTCCGTCTGTCCGTCTGTCCGTCTGTCCGTCTGTCCGTCTGTCCGTCTGTCTGTCCGTCTGTCTGTCCGTCTGTCTGTCCGTCTGTCTGTTTCTACGCGAACTAGTCTCTCAGTTTTAAAGATATCGAATTGAAACTTTGCACACACCCTTCTTTCCTTTGCACGCAGTATATAAGTCGGAACGGCCGGGATCGGACGACTATATCCTATAGCTGTCATATAACTGAACGATCGGAAATGCCATAACTTTGGTGTTTGTAAAGTTAGGAAGTTGAGATTTTCTATAGGTTTTATTTTTGGCCAATCAATCTGACCTACCGAATTTCATGAGAATCGGCCGACTATATCTTATAGCTGCCATACAACTGAACGATCGGAAATGCCATAACTTTGGTGTTTGTAAAGTTAGGAAGTTGGGATTTTCTATGGGTTTTATTTTTAGCCAATCAATCCGACCTACCAAAGTTCATAAGGATCGGCCGACTATATCTTATAGCTGCCATATAACTGAACGATTGGAAATGCTATAACTTTGGTGTTTTAGGATGTTGGGATTTTTTATGAGTATTAAGAATGCATCATATGAATAATTTTGGAGAATATAATTTACAGAGTATTCTGCAAGGGTATATCAACTTCGGCTCCGCCCGAAGTTAGCTTTCCTTTCTTGTTTCAAACGACTTACTCTACTTTAGATTATTCATCACAGCGTTATTTTTACACCATGTCCAAGTCAAACCTCATATTCTGTCCCACTTTAACAGAAAGCTCTCTTCTTTTGGATCTTCTTCTCAAGCCTGTTTATTCGCCAGGGCCCGATGGTATTCCTGGGTGCGTGCTTAGGTATTGCGCTAAGGCCCTGTGCAAACCTCTTCACAAGTTGTTTACCTTATCTCTAGAAACCTCCCAATTCCCAAATATTTGGAAGGAATCATTTGTTATTCCTCTTTTCAAAAAAGGTAACAAGTTAGAAGCCAGTAACTACAAAGGTATTTCTAAGTTGTCAGCTATTCCTAAGCTTTTTGAAAAAATTATTACTCCTCATTTGCAGCACTTTTGCAGATCAATTATTTCTCCGTGTCAACACGGATTTATTAAACGATAGATCCACAATTACAAACCTTCTAGAGCTCACTACATTTGTGATAAAAAGGCTTCAATAGTAGTTTTCAAACAGATGTCATTTACACTGACTTTAGTAAAGCATTTGACTCTGTAAATCACTTACTTCTTATTCAAAAACTTGACCTTTTAGGTTTTCCAGTTGATCTGCTTAAATGGATTTCAAGTTATCTAAATGGCAGGACACAAAGGGTCCTTTTTAAAAATTCAATTTCTGAAATTCTCCGTGTTACCTCCGGTGTCCCACAAGGGAGCCATCTGGGTCCGTTACTTTTTACATTATTTATTAACGATCTTCCCTCAATTATAAGTCATTCTCGCGTACTTATGTACGCAGATGATGTTAAGTTGTGCCTGCAGTATAAGGACATTTCCTGCCATTTAGACTTGCAATCCGATCTAGATAATTTTCAAAACTGGTGCCGAGATAATTTACTAAATTTAAACGGCTCCAAGTGCAAGCTGATGACTTTTTATCGGGCCAATCCGATATACGCGACTCACACGTTAAGTGGCAGCTCTTTGGATAGAATAACTCTTGTAAACGATCTTGGCGTTCTGTTGGACCCTAAACTAAAATTTTCTAATCACATTTCGTCCATGGTTAATAAAGCCAGAGGAGTGCTTGGATTTATTAAAAGGTGGTCAAAAGAATTCGATGATCCTTATTTGACTAAAACTTTATTTATTTCGCTAGTCCGTCCGATTCTGGAGTATGGGTCTCCCGTCTGGAGTCCACAATACGGAATACATATTGGTCGTATTGAATCTGTACAAAAAAACTTCCTTCTTTTTGCTTTACGGCGCCTAAACTGGGATGCAAATCTTATCTTACCTTCTTATTCTAGTAGACTTCTTTTGATTAATTTACCATCCCTAGCCAACCGTAGAACGATGCTTGGTACTATCTTTATTTATAACCTTATACATGGTGATATTGACTGCCCCGACTTGTTAAGTCGGCTAAACTTTTCTGTGCCAAGTAGATTAACTAGAAATTATATTCCCCTAATTTTAAATCATTGTAGATCTAACTATGCCTTGCATGAGCCTTTCAGAGTATTATGTTCTGACTATAATAGACTTTTTCCTGTAATATCAAATCTTGACTCTCGGCCGCTCCTAAAACGATTAATACTTGCTTCATTGGCACAAGATTGATCTAACTATTACTTTTTCCCCGGACCTTTACCTTTATTTTCCTATCTCGCGTCTATCCTATCGCGAATCGTGCCGTACGATACACGGCTGCGCCCCTCGGTCGGTTGGGCGGGTAAGTGGGCCGTGGGACTCCGCGCGAAAAAAAAAAAAAGCTTAAAAGTGTATTATGCTCCCTCTTAATAATCACAGCAAGTCCAGAATAAAGTTAAACTTTCGAGTTAACTTTCGCTTTTATGAATCAATTTGTTCCTTCTCACTTTAAGTGATAATTTTGTGGATCTCTTGATGCATTAATTGTCTTTTGACCCACTATCTGAGAAAGTGCGACAGCTAAAAACATAATTAATTGAAAAGATGTTTAAAGATATGGTGCTGATTCCGAATAATTAAACAGAACAGTTTCCCAATCGAATTAAAAACACAGTATTTTCAGTCTTTAACAATAAAATAAGGTTTTATTTTTGCATTTTCCGTTTGTGTTTGCCATTGGATGCTTCCATGGTGTTCCGTATGTTTTTGTTTGTTTTATACACTTACAATTGTTCGGTTGCCGCTGGGCACTCGCTATGTTACACCGACTATCGTTAATTGCTACAATTAATATGCATTTCCATCAGCTTAAATGCTACAAAAATCTGGCTTGGACATACATTTGACGAACTTCTAGTGCCAATTTAATTTAAGGACTCAGTTAAATGCGCTGAAAACAAATGCTCAACAACGCGCCAACATTGCAGTGTGCCGTTCTCTTACTTTCGGTGATTTTTCATGTGTCTACAAATATTTAAATGGCAGTTTCAACTCTTATTTAGTGGGGGTGAGGGGAAAAATTTCCATAAAGTGGCAACAAAATTTTTGCGTGTTTTGTTTGTTTGTTCACTTAAGTGCTATGACTACAACGTCATTTAAAAATTGAATTAAAAATTATTTCATTATGCGTTTAGAATTAATTAGTTCAACAAATATACAATTACAGTTAGAATTACAGTTACAGTTAGAGTTACAGCTATAATTATAATAATCGTATTTGCATTAAGTTTAGCACATGGAGGACATTTATTGCTACATAATACATTTATATAGTTTATGGTTTCCTTTTTGTTTATACATAGATGAAGCATAGATGTGAGCCTCGAACTGCAGTTGTTTTAAGTATGGGTTGTACGGTATACTATATATGGGCATAATTACTGTGTGTAGGTGGAAATTATTTTGCTCTGTGACTAATGAATTTAAATTGAAGCCTTGTTTTCTAGAACCCCCAGTAGAGCAGTCGGTGCTCACATCCCTTTAATGCCTAACATTCATATCATAATCATAATATCTATATGCGCATATAACTATTTATATATGTACGTACATTAATTGTAGGGTACATTTAAAGCTTTCAAAAAATCAGAACCTAACTTAGAACTTGCGTCAAAAATGAAAGATCGTAGATGCTTAAGTTCGTATAGCACGAAAGCAAGGAAATCGTACAGAATACAACTCGACTTAGAGCTAGAGTCTCAACTTATATGCGTAGTTTTGGTTCAACAAGCTTGCTTCCGTATCAACTAATATATTTCAAATTCAAACAATAGCCTAGGGTCAACTTTTGATTTTCTCTTCTTTTTTCTTGTGTTTCCGGACATAGGTGATGAACTTTATACAAAGCCACTAAGAACTACGACTGCTTTTGGGCCTATGGTTGTATCTGGGGAGGGTGTCTATGTGCTAAACTCTAAGTAACTCTCGTTCGCCGCCTCCGGATCGGGAGTGAGGGGCGCGGACTTGGCCCCGCCCGCCGGACCCGTCTCATACTAGACGTACGCCTGCGCCCGCGTCCTGGGCTCCTTGCCCTGCAGCCTCTCCACAAAGTTCCGCCAGCTGACCATCGTCTTGCTGGAGTAGAGCCACACGCTGGACGTGACCCCCACCAGCATCGAGCAGAGGTACTTGACCATGAAGATCTGGAAGATGGGCCGTGCCTCCGGCGAGCCCGGCGCCCTGGCCGACGGACACGGAATCGAGAAGGGCTTGCAGATGTCCCGGTGCCACTGGATCATCCACTCGTCGAAGTTGTAGTACTCGTAGAACAGGCAACCCAGTAATCCCACGGCGGGCAGGATGAACAGCCCGGAGAAGAAGCCGATCCGCAGCATCAGGCGCTCCAGTTTGTCCGTCCTCTTCCCGTCCGTTTTCATCACGGTCCGGATGCGGAAGAGTGATATGAATCCGGCCAGCAGGAACAGCGCTCCGATCGAGAGATATATGCAGAGGGGCAGGATCAGAAAGGCCCCCAAGGAGTGTGTGTCTAGCTGGCCCACGAAACAAACGCCAGAGAGAATGTCGCCTGGAATAAAAACAAAAATAGGTTAATTAGATGATTGTATACGGAAATGAAATGGAGATAAGTAGGGGCTTAAATAAGTGCAGATGTATTTTTATCAATTCCAAACGTTTATGTTTACAACATTAAAGGCAAACGTTGAAAATTAATATATGCAATGCATGTATTGGTATAATAGCACATAATATTAAAACATAAAGATAGTTCCCCTTTTGTAAAAAACAAACATTGGTGTGAAAATATTGTGGCCTTAATGCAAAAATTCAAATAAGCAAAACAAAACAATATAAAACTAACATAAAATCATTGAATGCCGAAAGCGAACTTAAAATATTCCAAACCAAGTTGACACTTTCATCATTAGTTGCGCAAACAAGTATTCTTCTCTTTTGACATTTCCAGGTGAACCAGTCAACCTTTGAAAATCAAACAATATTAAACGTCAACAATTGCGAGGGATATGCGTTGAAAATAACTGTTGATTGCAGACAGGGAAAACAAGCAAAACGGGGAGATAAACAGTGTTTAATTTTACCATTTCATGTACCTCTTTCGGGGTAAATATTTACCCAACGATAGCCCCAAACGGCAGCGTCGATGGCCCCTCTCCACACTCTCAGTTCAAAGTCAATGCGCCGCTTGTTTAAGCATTTTACGAGCGGTTGGGCTGCCCGCCCCCTCCCACCGATCTCCCCCACTCATTAGCGTTATTTATAAACATGTTACATTATACCCAGCTCACACCTGCCCCGCCTCCCAAACTCCCCCTACCTTTCTCCCGTGCCCCTGATGAATTCATCATTCGTTCGGCAAGCCATATTTCCGCTCATAAATTATCGATTAGCCCCTCGTTGAAGCTTCTGCCTTTTCGCTCTTTTTTCTCCTTAGGTGACATGATAATTTCGGTTTTTTTCTGTGTCGCGCTTTTCCAGGGTGCTGCCACATGGAGATTTTACAAGCTTCGCTGAGTTGTAAATACTTTCAATTAGTGCGCTTTATTTCACATTTATTTAAGTTTTTTTAGATGGGAATTATGGGACGTTCATGTGCATTTGGAAGTTCTCAATATTTGAACCTCAACTTAATTTTTCAGATTTTCTTTTAACTTATAATTCTATTAAACAAAATATTATTAAAGCTCACTCAGATGGTTTTAAATTTATACACAACTTTTCAGTGAATTTCAGGGTTTGCAATTTAAAGTTAGTAGTTAAAAAACGTTTTAAACCGCAATAAAATGCGGAGTGAGAGTAATTTTTTTAAAAAGAAAACCCAGAAACCAGTTTTATTTTTTAAAAATGTATTTTTAATATACATTGCAAAAGTATACAAATTAAATTCAAACAGTACATTTTATTTAACATACAACCATTTATTTCCAGCTAGTATTAAGACTTTTATGTGACGGGTTTTCTTCGCTATTTAAAATTTTTCAATATTCAATGAATTAAAAATTTGATCCTCTAAATAATTTTTGTGCTAGTCTTGTAATATTCAAAATGTATTTCGTTGCAAGGAATCGTTTCACAAGCTCCGATCATTGTTGTCTTGTTTTTATGGGCTCGCCTATTACATAAATCCTTAACCCATCGATGGACTGACATTTATAGCCATTGAATTCGCATTCTCAACGCCAGATGGCGCCTTTACAAATCGCCTGCCTTTGAAGTTATCTGCAACTGGAAGCCTGAAATATAACTTTATACCATAAAAGTCATGTCATGCTGACAAACCAAAAGCCCCTACTTGCTAGAAGGAGACGGGAGATCCAGAAGAAATGAGACGGGAAGAGGTGAGACTGGACTGGGAAAATTAAGCGAGTTGAGAACCGGGAAAACGCCGATAAACGAATACAATAAATAACAGCAGGCAGTCTGCAACATCCTCCGAGTAAAGGAATTCACAGACAAGAATTCGTTGCAACTAAAATTTTAACCGAATAAAAGAAAAGTGCTATCCCACGTACACAACTATTGAATATAAATCACAATTCTGGAGCTGGATATGATTTGGGATCTATCCGAACCCGATTCGAAATGCCACCTGCCGTTGGCTCCTTTGGTTCTCCACCAACTCAATCGCAGTTCCAGTTTCCCTTCCGATATTGATCTTAATTTATATCTGAGCCTGAGAATGGTTTGCAGTCCGAATGAAACGAAATCAAATGAAATGCACCAGGCAGGGAAACCGGACTTTCGGTCTCCGATCGAGTATTGATAAATGAAGAGCAGGGCCTATACACAGAACCAGTTCTATTCGTGTCCTTATTGCTAAAAGTCACACAGTGCGAAAATTACACACAATTTTAAAAACACTAAAAGTTGTTTTTTAATAAAAATCACTCATACTTTGTTTTTTTGTTTATAAATGTGATCCAACGATTATAACTTTGATTTTTTTGATAACAAATCGATATGTGTTTTTACATTTTTTTCTCTGTGCATCGTTGGAAACCAGTTTTGTATTTTTTCACTTATTTCACCTTCATTTTGGAAAATTGCAAGCAGCACAAGTTGCTGTGACAATTTCTGAGGTTCTGCAGTTGAGAGGCTGCCAGGAACCGAGAGATGCAGCAGCAACAGCACAGCAGCAACATCAGCAACAGCAACATCAGCAGCAGCAACAGCAACAATGCATGTCAATTGTTTTGTATGGCATGAGGAATGCATGTTGCACTGAGAGAAACGGGTTTCTCGTGGGAAAAGAGGGGGAGTGGGGCGACTTTTTCAGCTGTCAGCCAGTCAGTCAGGGCTTCTCCTCCCTCGCCTCCAATACCTTCCGTTGACGAAGTGCAGACGGCAGAATTCCATTTTTAGCCAATGCCACAATGCATTTGATTATGAAGAAAAAGCTGCATTTGCTTCCTTTGTTCTGGCTGGTAATTCCATTTAAATTCGGACCCATTGGGCAAAAGCAAAGGTGTTAATCTGCTGGGCAAATACAGGAATGGAGGTACCAACTTAAAGTTGGTTAGACAAACGAAACAAAGCTCGGGCTTTGTTCGAGTAGGTGGTTAACCCGTTAAGTACAAGTATACAAAATCTTGACAGAAATTTACAAAATTATATTTTAAAAAGGTAAACATAAGAAGCATGGTTAAAATAATTATTTAGCGTCCTTATTCAGAAATATTTTTTACAAATTACTTTTGTCACCAATACTGGAAATTATTTTTTTAATAGTATTTTATGTTATTATCTATTTTTGAACTTTTACCCACAGATAAATGCTGGGTTAAGGCAGCTGCTAAGAAGTGAAAACAAATGTTCGCAATCGCTTGATTTCACACAATTGTAGTGTTTGTTTTCGTGGGTTTAATAGCAATTTAACAAATTCTGCGGTCAGAAAGAGTTCTTTGGTGGGAAAAATAAAGCTAATTCCAGAAACAACAACAGTAAAAATTAATTCTTCAACCCTTTAAAATGTTCCTGGAATAGAGATTGAAGGGATCCTAATCAACTAATAGAATTATCGATATTACACATTTTTTTGCGAATAACATTTTTTCCTGAGTTTTAAATGAGCATAATTTGAATTATTTTAATAACGTGATTATTTCTGTTATTTTAATTGTAACACAGCGGATATGTCACCTCATTTTTAAAAACAAGGGATCCACATACATATGCATACAGTCTGCTTTTGTCATTCTTGTGCCCTCTTTCTGGTTTTAGTTTCCGCCGTAAAGTCAATCTGATGTGACATTTCACCTGCTCGCCAGTTCCTGCCGACGTTAACCCTTGGGATCCCCCTGTGCCCTGCCAGGCACTATCTGCCTCATATCTATGTAAAACTCTTGTACACATGCTGATGATGAAACTGTCAACTGTCATTTAAAATTTTAATCGCATGTTCTTCTGCCCGTTCCTGTGCCCCTTTGTGTGTCTCTTTTTCACTCACCGACGACGATTATTGTCGCCAGCAAAGACAGCAAAAACAACGAGAGTTGAAGATTTTTAATTACTCTGGCACCACAACGCCCCTTCTCAGCCCCCTTTCTGCCCCTTTGGCCACCATTGCACCGACTGACAGTTGCTTATCGCGGGGCTTTATAGAAATAATATAGGGAGACGGAGCAGGCGTCATTGGGCTCTTTGCTTTCATTGCTTTTTCTCCGCTGCTCCATTTAGATAAATGACACATAAATTAAGCAATTTTCCTTTTATGCTACCCGCTACTCAGTGGTTTCTGCACGGGCATGTTGGAAAAGCACCAGGAAAAACGATCTGCTGGCGACTTCTATGCTAAAATTAAAGTTACAGACTAGTATTTGATGTAATTCATTGTAATTTTCTAAATATCTTTCTTTGCTGAAAACTTATTTAAGCTGCAGTAAAAATATAATTGTTGGGTCAAAAAAAAATCAGAAAGTTTGGTTAGATTTAAAGTTAAATATTAAAAAAGTTTCTATTACTTTTGATATTTATAAGAATTTATTAAAATTCTGATGAACCTAATTAAAATAATTCTGGTAGTAAAGTGTTAAAAAAAATTTATAAACTTAATATAAAATAATTTGAAAAGAAACTTGTTTTATAGATGAATGAATACTTCATAAGCAAATACTATTCTGAAATTTATTATAGGGTATGTTCCTACTAAGATTGGGTGTAGTTTTTTTAATTTTGCTTTTTTCCTTGCCCTTTGTCCATGATAAAATAATTATATAACAATTGTCAAGCTGCTAGTGTTGGTTCTCCTTCTTCTCCCTACATATACAAGTCCCTTTCATCCCCTCAACCTCGTTATGATCGTTCATTGGCTATTTGTTCAACTTGAGCGTTGACCCGTCCGCCGAGGGGTTGAGGGGTGGGGGTACAGGGGGTGCATGAAGGCGGGTAAAGCTGGGGCACATCTGTTTTAGTAACGAGAATTCTATCTCAATAAAAGTTTATTTGCTCTCTTAATGCGTTTTTTCTATCATTTTATGGACAACGCTTCTCAAGTGTTAGATAAACATTTTGACAACAGAGTCATAAAGTTGCCATGGGTAATAATGGCTG